TTTAAAAAAATCTGTAACCTTAAAACACAGCGATATGGGCCTTAACCTAAACATTTAAATTGTTAATGTTGGATTAATAAAGCTGATGGCAATTTAAAATCCGCACGGAACCTGTCCTACAGTCAGTAATTTATTCTTTTCCACTGAGTAATGGGGCTGTCAAAAGAATAACGATTCCGTTGTAGCGGCTTGACAAGAAGACAATGCAACCTCTCCAGTACTCGGAGCTTAGGAAGAGAACAAATTTTACTCTTCTGTTTTCTTAGGATAGATAGCTGTTTCCTTGGCTGTAGAATTACATTTAATACTTTGGCTGTAACCGGTTTGTCTGAAGGATGGCAAGATCAGCTTTCTCAGGGCTGCTGAGAATGGTGTTTGTGTGTGTGTTGGGGGTAACAAATCACAGCTCCATGGCCCCCCAGAATTTTACTTTCATACAGTATTTGGGTTGGATGTGAATGATACAAGGGGATCCCCAGAGGGGATTTTTCTTGGGGGAGGGCATACAGCAGTCCTCTTGTTCAGTGCTAAGTTTGCACGATGAAATTTGAGTCTCTGGCTACAGTTTGGTGTAGTGGTTATGAGCACGGACTCTAATCCAGGAGAACCAGGTTTGATTCCCCACTCTTCCACATGCAGCTGCTGGTGTGACCGTGGGTCAGTCACAAGTCCTCTCAGAGCTGTTCTCCCAAGAGCAGTCCTAGAAAGAGCTCTCTCAGCCCCACCTACCTCACAGGGTGTCTGTTGTGGGGAGGGGAAGGGGAAGGAGATTGTAAGCCGCTCTGAGACTCCTGAGTGAAGGGCGGGATATAAATCCAATCCCTTCTTCTCTTCAGATGGTTTGATTATCCATGGTTAATCGAACCAACCATGATTATTTATTTATCTGGTTATTTGTAGTCTGCCTTTTTTGCTGAGACTTAAGGAGGATTACATAGTGTACATCAAGTATAATCAATGGGAGGGACATCCAATGATTAGTGGTGCAGACAACTGATCAGAATTTTGGTTTGTTTGCTCCCGGTGAAAAGAAGTGCAACAGGAGCAGGAGAGGTTATTTGGCCACACCATGGCTCCGTACCCTGCACCAAACAAACAAACTGGGGTTAAGCTGGGATTCCTGTGTTTGTGTATGATGATGAACCAGAGTTACTGCAAACCAAGATTCACAAGCTGAAATGTAACTTTAATGAAATGTGAACTGTGGCCCCCGTTTGCAGCATTCCCGCTAACCAGATTTAATGGAGTCACCAGCAGTCGGACATCACACTAAACTGGAGTGTAACCAAAGAATGGTTTCTAAGCCACAATTTCGACTGCATGCAGTCCTAATGTCTGTATTGCTGTCATTGTATGTTGGATCACTTGTATAGCTTCCAGTCTGCTGCTATCCAGCACAAGGAAAGGGGAATATTTTATTTTCTCACATTAGTATTTAAGCTAGGGGAAATAATCCCAGTTATCTTTGAATGCCCAGAAATCTGTTGGTTTGACAGTCAAGTGTCCCTTGGCTTTGTCAGGACTTGAAGACTAAATCAGAATTTGTTGGAAAATTATGACATTTAGAATGCATTCAGATCTTTAATTTCATCCATGTATTTTCTTCATCTTATTTAGATAAGAATCTTCCAATTGCTTCCAATTGCATGATATTCTCCACTTAGAAGTTTCCAGTCCAGGGCAAGGGTTTATTACAGTTACATTCTGTTTTGTATCCCTGACCTATTTTTGTAGCCGCGATTACATTATAAAAACTGATGTCATCCATACACTGTTCTTAACCTGAATTGCATCATCACAAGATAAAGAAGTTGCACAAAGGTGATGTGAAAGGCCTCTACCTGAGATCCTGGAGAAGCACTGGCCAGTCTGAGTAGACAAAACTGACCTTGATGGACCGATTATCTGATTCTGTATAGGGCTGATTCTTTCCTGTTTTTACCTGAGCACTCCATTGGAGCTTTGAGCACTGCAGATTGGGCCTAAGCAGTGCTCCCTCTAAGCAAAAATTCTACTTTGTGAACTGCTGGCATTAAAGTTGCGAGTGAGCGAGTTAGCTACTGCATAAATTAGTCTGCTCTGGAGCTGTCCTTCCTGAGCCAAGACAAAAATGTGTGAGCCGGAGGCTAAAAAACTGTGAGGTACTTCACACTAACTCAGCTTAGAGGGAACACTGGTCCTAAGTAGATCCTTGGGCATATGAAATATTGCACATCTTGATGAGTTGCCCATATTGCATCTCAAGAATATTTATCAGCACTTACTCTGTGGGTGAACATCTCAGTGTGAGTAAGGTCCATTCTGTGTATGAGTTTTATGTATTTTTTTTTGTTAAATTTATGGAGTACTCAGTTTGAATTTTACCATTGAGGAAGGCTTTTAGCTGAAACGTGTTTGGTATTGGTTCTTGTATTTGAACCTTTTAACCTGTATTTATATGATTGGACGTTTGTCTTTATATTAGGATTAGGTACTCATATGCAGAATCATAGGATTGTGTTTTTAAACAGCATTTAGCACTTTTGAATGTATTATTAAATTATATGTGATATTTTGTACATTAGCACTACATGCATAGCTATGTTTTAGGTTTTTTCCCCCCTTTGTCTCAACCTTTTTGGGTATCTTTCTCATGTAGGGTTGTGTTTTTCTCTCCTTTTTTGGTCGCATTTATCGGATTCTGTATAAGGCAGCTTCATGTGTTCAAAGAAATACAAAGGACCATAGTACTCCTTCAGTTTAGGAACTCATGATCTTAAAAGAGTAAAATGCAGTTACTGCCCTTATTGTAGAAGTAATCTTTTTTGGAGTGCAAGGCTGAAATTTAACTCCAAAAAGCATGCCTGATATTGGGAGTTTTGGAAACAGTGTAGCAATAAAATAAATCTTCAGAAACAGTTTCATTATTTACCCCAGAAATATTGTTCTGAAAAGCTCCTGCAGGTTTGCACTAGGGCAGGTTGAGTTCATTACTAGTGATGAGAACTGTTTTAGTAACACCTTCTCTTTCCTTTGTAGGATGCACGCCAGAAATTCCGTTCTGTCCTGGTTGAAGCAACAATAAAGCTAGATGAACTTGTGAAGAAGATTGGTAAAGCCGTAGAAGACTCTAAACCATATTGGGAAGCAAGGAGGGTTGCCAGGCAGGTAAGACCATTATTAAAAATGCCTCCTGAACCCTGGTCGAATCAAGCCGTGCAATTAAAAAAACAACACCTGGTATAGATACATGAAAGGCTATGCTAGACTCTTTCTCCATGATATGCTAATTTTTTTTAATTTGCAGGAAACTTTTACATTAAGGTACAAGAAAAATGGCACCCCAGCAATCTTAAATGGTATAGCCCAGAGTTGTCCTGTGGGGACCGTGGCTGCTGTTGGTACCTTTCCTGGAGCTTGCCAAGTGTTTTTAGGAAAGGTGTGGCTAAATAGGGCTTTTTGGGTTTTTGATGTTTATGATATAATGCAGGCAGTGACTTTACGTACAGTACTTTACCTGTGGAAATTATTATTATTGTTACCCTGCCCTCCTGGCTGAAGCAGAGTGGTATTCTAAACCTATAGTGGGACTTGATTCTGACTAAACGTGATTGCGCTATATGGCTAAAATGCTTAATGCACTTAACTGGAACTTCTGCTGAAGTAATCAGATCGTCTCAGTTATAATATATTTTTATAATTCAGGTGGAATTTGATCATCTTTCTTCATTGGTTACTTTTCAAGAAATAATTTGTTCCTGTCAAAATCTGGGCAGAATCTCTCTTACTTCACACCTGGGCAAGAAGCTCTCACTGTCAGTGTTACAAGTAGTGCAGGTCGAAAATGGCTGGGTTCATGGAAAGGGGATAGCAAGGAAAAGGAGCGCTTTCCCTTTGGCGTGCATTAAAAAGTAAAGGTAAAGGTTCCCTTGCCCGAAAGCCAGTCGGATCAGACTCTAGGGTTGCGGTGCTCATCTCCGTTTCAAAGCCGAAGAGCCAGCGCTGTCTGAAGACGTTTCCGTGGTCATGTGGCCGGCATGACTAAACACCAAGGCGCACGGAATGTGCATTAGATGCCTACAAACTGAAGACAGATACTGCCAGATGTGGTTTCATTAACCATCTTAATAGATGCATAACCTCACTCACCGACATTTTGTGGTTGGCTCCGCCTCCCATGGCAGCCGTTTCCTGCTTGCGCCTGCCACCTATTGTCAGAATTCCAAACCTGAAAAAAATGTTGGGTACTCTGGTTATAGCTCCTTGTACTTCTGCAGCGTTCTACCACCTCACTCTGCTGTATGTGTAGACTGGTTGAATAAGGGTGTCGCTCTGCTTACCAATCATGCACTAATGGGTAATCCTTTAATTTTTTTATGTTTCCTCCCCCTCCCCCCACTTTGTCTTTTGTGCCTGTACTTGTAACATCCTATCCCATTTTCTCTCATTGACTGTGTTTATGAAAAGGAAAGTGCTAATAAATTTCAGCTCCTTTTTTAAAAAGAGAATGCACTAAAAGCACAGTGATGCTATTTATAAGTATCAGTATTCAGCTGATGTTATGGTGGACATCTGAATTGTGCCCCTGCCACAGGACTGATGACACGAATTTATCCTGCATGTGCCACCCACATAGTTTATATAAGGATTTGTTCTTGTCTCGTTTCTTATCCCTACTAATAATGGTCTTTCAAGAAATACTTTGTTTTCGACAACCTACTCAGGATTCCTAGCAGCTCAGCAAGGCTATTTTTGGG